GAAAAAGCATGAAATTCGAATAAATGACATGGTTATTGTTGTGTACTATGACCATGACGTAAGTCTGCAGTCTTGGTTGTATAAAACATCCGATAACGTAGATGGACTTGGAACCATCATAGTTTGTAGAGCGTTTATGGAAAGCATAAATTATACATCGAAATCTCTACAGTTAAAAAATTAGGTTATTTCTATCATAGCTATTTCATAAAAAAAACTTCTCAATTTTCCTTATTAATATCTCTGTCTCTTATAAAATATTATGAAAAATATGCTACGCGCACATCATTTATACGGCAATTAGAGAGATATGTTACATTATCCACTCTATATGATACAAAATACATTACATATGATACAAAATTGTAAGTCTTACTAAACTGGAGAAGGCGATAAAAATGATAAAGACCAATAACACAAGCGCGTACTTCAATTGGGTTAATAATGTTGTCTAACTAAAGAGAAATTTTATTGTTAATAAAAAATTATTATCACAGCATAAGAAGACTATAGTTACTTATGTTAAAAATAACCAAATCAGTTATTCAGTTTATCTGAAGATTAAAAATTACGCTTATTTCTACTTTTCTATCATACTTTTTATTGATTAAATAATTCTTCATATAACGAGCCATTTGCCTTCCACCGGACCGATCATAATTACTATTTGTACTAATTTTTATAGAATTTGATAAAGTGCAGAAAATTGTGAATGTTTATGGCATTTGATTGTTTTTTGCTATGAAATGACCGTATATTTCTTTTTTTTACTTAACGGATAGAAAATTTAACGCGATGTAAATTTTGTCCGCATAATTTTAACTTAAAAATGAATATTAAATTATTATTAAAATATATCAAATATATCATAAACAAATGGCTACATAATTTATAGTATGAAAACTAAAATTTACTACAAAAAATAATGGAAATTTACAAGAAATGTTTTTTTATTAATAAATATTATAAATAATTTCTTTCTCTATACTGAAAAACATTTCGATTATATCACGTAAAGATTATCAAGATACATTACGTATAAATTTCAATAATGATATTCTGCATTGTTGCGATTGTTGTTTAATTTGGTAAAGATTTTTTAAAAACATTTATTCAAATTTAACCTAATATTTTATCAAATGTACAAACTGATCTGCATCGCGAGAGTTGAGAGGACAAATGTCGTGCGACATAAATTCACTCAGGATTGAGGTATGAATAGTTGCTGAGACGAAGAATGCACTATCGCTTATCAAGCAATGTTAATTATAATCCGTGCAATCGACACAAAGGTTATAACTTCAATATACAGCTTGAATCATATAACTCGATCAGCCCATTATTCCCTTTACTCTTTGACCCAATGAAACAATTTAACTTTTATCATCTCAGATAATATCCAGAACATTTTACAAATTTTTTCTAACATATTTTTAACCAATTATTTTATTTTCGAAATTTAGCCTTAGTTGCAACTTTTTTGAATAGAAATAGTCAGAAAAATTAAATTGTACAGTTTACTCTGTATGTGCGCCAATGCATTCGACGAACGAAGGCGATGTAGCAGAGGATGACGGCAACGACTACTATTGATACGATGGCGATGATTTAATGTACATCGGTTTACGTGAACCATGACTTTTGTGCGGCACCGTGACCTCGCCACGTTGAACCCGACGCAGGCACAAGTACCCGACTGTACAGCAAATCCAGGCCTTCAACGAAGGCAACTTATTGGTAGACAACAAGAACGATCGCGTCTTTGAATTTTTCCGATATCTATTTATAAATAATTTTTTGAAAATTCCATCTCTCTTTAAATTCAGATTTGGACCATTTGAACAATAAATATTGGAATGAGGAGTTATGTAATAATATAATTGGTCTTTGAAAAATTACTAGCCATTTAAAGTTTATGAGTTTCTAATTAGAGAGCAATTTTTGCGCTTACTGGTTTTTTTGCTGTGAAATGACCGTACATTTCTTTTTTTTACTTAACCGATAGAAAACTTAACGCGATGTAAATTTTGTCTGCATAATTTTAACTTAAAAATGAATATCAAATTATTATTAAATCGAATATATCATAAACAAATGGCTGCATAATTTATAGTATAAAAACTAAAATTTACTACAAAAAATAATGGAAATTTACAAGAAATGTTTTTTTGTAAACCTTTATCTGATGAAAACTAAAAACATCTCGCATGGACGACTTGACATTTTGCACTTTCGTCGTATTTACGTAAAGCTAGTTATGAAATAAACGTACGAAATCGTCTGACTCGACGCGATAAGATCTTTCGAACTTTACCTTCTTTATATAAAATATATTTCGTTATCTTGGCATGTTCATTTGAATGTTTGCAGGGACGTGGCGCAAAATCGACCTATATGAAAAATTGTTTTAATAATTATTGAATTTTTAACAAAAATATAAATTCTATAAAACTAATATGAAAGTGCAAGATACGAAACAAAATAGGAAGTTTATTGACGAACAAAGAAAGAATCGTTAACGTTCTTGTAGTTTTGTCAGCTCGATAGGGACCAAACAAACGGGTGTCATAGTTTATCTTATTACATTGTGGTATTAAAAGCAAACGGTCCACGGTTTGTATAGACGCATGTATGATTCATATAGGATCCCGATACAGCAACGCAACCAAAGTGTAATAATCTTTCGTTCATTGATTGATTTGAATTGTTTCCAATACGTGTACATATGCTTGGATTTCTAGAATTCCGTACGATGTTCTACATAAGAATTATTGCGACTTAATATCACGTACATAATCATTCTACAAGAGCTAATTTCAAAAAATTTTAAATTTGCTTTGTCATATACATATTTCAATATGTATAAAAGTGATTACAGAAATAGTTTCTTCATATTCATGTTATTTTTATAAGTATAGCAGAAAAATCAATAATTCGTTTATTCTTCTACCATTTTCACGTATCTCTTTCTTTTAAATCAAAAAGTATGATAATCGATCGGGTGTATCATAAATAAGAAATAAATTTTTCTGAATCAAAAAAGCAATCGAAGGTGGCGGTTCGTCTTTAAACATCACGAAATGACACGCGCTGAAGTGACTCAGGAGACATGTGACGCAGCGAGCAAGTGTTTAAATAGAAATAATGGCGACCCTGACGATCGAACCGATAAAATTCAACTGTTCGAGGGAATAGTCAAAGTGACCGTTACAGGTGCTAGCGATGCGTTTGTATTAGCACAGAATAGGATAATAGAACGACTCCTAATGATATCGTTAGCGAAATACTACCTGCCAGGAATGACGATACAACTTTCTATTTTTCCACGTAA